TGCCATTTAGCCCAATCGTTGTCCTCAGTATTAGTTATCCTACAAGAAGATAAAAGAAATCAATAAATCACAGTTACATAAAGTGAGCGAAGTTATGTAGTAACGGTGTCATAATGACTGAAATTAATAAAATAATTACACATTTAAAACCAGTAGTCAGTACGATATTTACTTGCCTTGTTGACATCCATTTTCTATTCATGGCCAACATGATTTTGCCACATAGCAGTAGCAATTGCATCCCTAACGTTCAATTGGTACGTTAACCCATGTTGTGACATGTCAACATAGTCAGCTTGGTCTCCAACAAGCTCGTCTGCTTCTGCTTTAGCGGCCATTTCATTATCAGCTTCCATAAAGCATGGGTCCATAACTGCATGCAAACGGATCCAATTGTGCACTACACAACATGCAATCACGAGAGGCCCTTGTCTTGTAGACTTATAATTTGGCATGGACCGCAATATTGGAAAGCGCTTCTTCAGAACACGAAATGTTCTTTCTATGACATTGCGTAACGACGAATGTCAATGGTTAAACAATTCCTTAGGTCCTGCATAACGACGGCCACGAAACTCTTGCAAGTGATACCGTTGAGACCGAAATGGGGCAAGAAATCCAGGCATGTTCGTGAAACCAGCATCAACTAAATAGTACGTACCTACATGTAAATAATGAATACACAGTTCTGTCAATTGATATGTACAAGAAAAGACAAGAAAAAAAATTTATTGTATGTTATTTAGGGGCAGTCACCATTGAGTGGATGTGGGAACTGTAGATCAGCTCGTGTAATAGAGTCAACCAAAATAGCGTTGTCATGAGCGTTACCTTCCCATCCAGAATTAATAAATGTGAACAACATATCAAAGTCGCAAGTTGCGAGTACATTTTGCGATACCGTTGCTTTCTGACAGCAGAATGTATTTTGTCTTGAAGCAGGGACCCATGCATCCACCAATGTGCCATCGATAGCACCGACACAATCCTAATTGACAGATATTTGTTTGACATTAAAAGCGAAACAAACTTGGATATTACTTTTATAATTAAAAAAAATATTTATTAACCCTTATTGATATGTACAACTTACAGGACAATCATATTGTTCGTACCTTGAACCAAGGAAAAAACCTCCTGTCATTTAAAATTTTTGCCGGTATGTCATCTTGGTTACGTGGTTTGATAACCGATAATGCAAGTTTGCACAACGCCCGCATAACAATTTTTATGTACCGACAAATTGTTTCCGTGGAGTGTTGAAATCTATCTGCCATTATTCGATGGCGATCATTTTGTGCAAAAGTGTATAAAAAAATTCCAAATGATTCCTCCACACTGATTTGCATATGTTCAGTATCGATAAAGCCATTATGGAGTAAAGTGTCTTTCAATAAAATGAATGTTTGTGCATCCATTCGCATAACGTTCATCATTGTTTCTGGATGGCCATTTAATAGGCCAAAGATGTAATCACCACCTTTGAATGGACACGTTCGCTGCGGTCGACAACTACTTGACGCGTTGATATGGTCATGCATGAAAACAATCATCAAAAAATCCATAAAATCATCAATAACGTCATTCTCCTCTGATGAGATCTCCATTGTATTGTTTTCTCTGTCGAATGACATATGTTTTTGTCTACATCACAGTAAAAGCATAATTATAAAATATGTTATTCATGTTGTAACAGTTAGCATTATTGGTGAAACAGAATTAAAAAGTTAGTACATGAATAGTCGACCGTAGTCATTTATCAACGTACAGTAAAATTCATAGGAGAACAAAATTTATTTAATACGTGGTGATATTGTAAAACACAACATAGTTTTAATATAACAGAAAATACTTAAAAGTTCAAAAAAAAAAACATACGAAGATAGAAAAGGAAAGAAGATATCATGGAATGAAAAAAAATAATAATAACCAAATCAGGAATAATGAAATCATCAAACAGTTCAGGCAAGGAGATTTGCTAACACAAGCAAAACAGAACTTCTCAGTTCACTGCAAAGCGAGGATCATGGCTAGGCGCAAATGGGTAGGAGTGCGCATAAAAAGCCTTCGTCATTCCTTATCCTTGAACAGTGTTAGTGCCCTAACGTACTGTAATAGTGGTATGTCCCCAAGCTCTAGCAATGCATCAAGGGAATAATCATCACCACCTGCACTTATAGCCTCTGTCTCATTTTCTCGTGCACGTGAATGTCCTGTTTTTGCTTGTACATAAGATGTGAAAGTTGCACACACATCATCAAGCCCACTTGACCGTGACTTTTTGGAATGACCACTGTCAGTCTGGCTGGTTGCAGGGCCCCTCTTGTGACTTTTTCCCTTTGCTGGATTCATGTACTTATCCCCGAATAAGTCAACAGGAATGGCCTCAGCAGCATTACTCCCACCAACATCAGGGTTCCAAAATTTATTTAACATGTCATCTTCTTCTTTTGAGTCAAGGGCTCCTTGTATGGATGCACGAGACAAGGCCCCCGTGGCACAACAATTTTCAACAATTTCTGTCATTTCTTGAAAATATTCAAACCCTTTTGTCCTAAACTTCTTCACATTTCTGCTAGCCTACAACAATTACAATTAAAGAATTAAGCACTATATATATCATGAAATGTTTAAAATACAATTTCAAAATAGTATAGATTAATGAAAAACCTTATCCCAAAATTCATCGGGTGCAATAACAATGCCTATAATGGGATCCCATCCCAGACTAGTCTGTGCCTGGAGTTTCTTAAATGTCTGGTAATCAGCTTTCAGTCGCTGATATTTTTGGCGCACCTGCTTTCCCGTATACTGAAATCCATACATGTTGTGCAACAGATTTGCATAATGATTCCAATGCCTAATTGTCCACGAAGTAGTACGGCCCGTTTGTTTGATTGTTTCTAACCTCATCTCTCAACATATTTATTAATTTCGTTTCAATTCTGGGCGTCCACATTTTTGTATTGTCATCGGAATTATTCCCATCCATCTATAACACATACAAATTATATTTAAACTAGTCTAGAGTGGATATACAAGAATAACAGAGCATTCTAAACTAGTCTGGGGGTGGATATACAAGAATAACAGAGCAAAATGGTTTGAAGGAGAACACAGATAAGGAAAAAAAAGCAGATGATTTTATTTCGAGGAAAAAAATACGTAACAGATTAGTTGAATTTACATAGCAGAAATATAACCACAAACAAACAAAAAAATCAGGTAACATTGTCTTTAAATAGTAGAAAAAAAAACCAGTAAAAGAAGAAGTAAGGAAGAAATAAAGAAAGAAAAGGAAAAACAGAAGAGGCTGTACGCAAAGGGGAGGACGGGTGGGTTGATCGGCCGGTCGACCTGCCGGATGACCTGGGGGACGACCGGCCGGGTGTCCCAGGTACTGCCGGTTTAGTTTCTCTTCGTGCAAAGGTTCAAACAGTTCAGAATTTAAAAAGCTTTTCAGATTTGAAATGAAAAATACTCGTCTACAAATTCTCAGAAATCATTTGGGAACTGATTTCCACTTCTCTGAAATCATTTATACATAACAGATGAAGATTTATTTACCAGATTAGTGGCTATTCTTCTTGGTAAAAGGTTGAAACAGTTCAGGAAAATCAGAAAACATCTGAAACTAAAAAAATAGTCGGCTACACTTCTCACAAAAGATTTGAGAACTGATTTCGACTTGTCTGAAATCATTTTCATATAACAGATGAAGGATTTATTTACTAGATTAGTGGGAGTTGAATAGTTATTGCCGGTGATGGAATGTGTATATTGACTGAATGTGCCACTCTTTGCTCGTCCGATTCGACAGTAGATTTGATAAATTTGACCTGGAAAAAAAAAATTTAAATTAGGGATGAATTTTTCAAATCATTTCCCTATAACAAAATTCAATTAATAAATTTGTGAGTTATTTCACCTCGCACTTGTCGTTGTTTGGTTGCCCGTAATAAGAATCTTCTGCAACGCACAAATTGTAAGTTAGTCAATTTGATACCAGTAGGGAGCGGGTTTGGTGGATTCATTATTTATAAAATGAGTGAAGCCTAACCGTGACGAATGTTAAGTACTGATGTCTGATACAGAGAGTGACAAATGTTAAGTACTGATGTCTGATACAGAGAAAGATAAGGTTCACGTGAAATTTTCAGAGATGATGGAGAAGGACATGGAAGCTTTTCAGATCAAAAGAGAAAGAAAGATGAGGTTCACGTGAAATTTTCAGAGACAATAGAGAAGGACATGGAAGCTTTTCAAATCAAAAGAGGAAGAAGACAGAAACGTTGAAAGTGAAGCACTGAAGTACAAGCTGCCAAACGGGTTTTCAAACTGTAATTTGAATTAACACGCAAAATTGTATTTTGAACGTCCTATCCAAACATGAAGCGGGAGTTCACGTGTTGAAACGTAATTTGAAAATACAAACAAACAAAGTCAAAATATCTATAAATAATTTTTTTTTAAGATTAATAAATATAAACATATATGAAAATATACTAAATTTTTATTTTTTTTATTCAATGAATTTTAAATATTTTATTTTTTATGTACATTTAAGTTAGGTGTATTTAAAAAATAAAAAAATTAATTAAAATATTAAAAAATTCACTAAAGACACAAAATATGAAAAATGAAAAATATAAAAACTCAAAAACTATTATTTCAAAACTCAAAACTAAAGATCACCACCTATCCTTGACTGTCCCAACCCGGGTGTAATAACAATGCCTATAATGGGATCCCATCCCAGCTCCAACCATCATTCAACCACCTCATCCCCTTCCTCACCAATCACGACCACTTCAACCCCCTCTCAACTATAGGTTGTCAACCATGGTGAAGGTGTGCGACAAGGTTCTGAAAAGCAGTTGCAGTCGCCATAATGGTGGCCGTGGCACAATTGCGGTTACGGGATGTAAAGGCCATAGCGTAATGGCTACGGTATCTGGAACTGTGAATTTTTTTATTTTTCGCATAATTTGAAAAAAATTTATCGATATGCATATTTTTTTTTTTAGAATCATGTTTATTGGGTTTTAAAATAAACTTTGATAAATTCTTAATAATTTTTAGGTATGATCCAATATATTTCATATTTTTAAATCACTTATATAATGAGTTTTTTTTTACATTTTATTTCAATAATGAATGACTTTATATGTCATAAATCCGTGTTACACGTGTGGCAAAAATTTCTTTTATTGGACTTAGATGTATAAAATTATTTTTAATTATTATACTTGTGGAAGCATATGCAGATTTTAACTTAAATAGTTTTAAAAAAGTATACATCCTTAATGGAAGAAACCTAACAAAGTACATAATATCATAGCACAATTCACAAATAACAGAGATTACATTT